GGACAGTTTCACCTGCAGCGCCCGGCCTTGGCCGCAATACCTTGTGCTACCTCCGCTGGGGCGGAGGGGCCATATCGCTGCTCAGATAGACAGCCCACGCTGGATTCGTGGACATTGCCAGGCCTCTCCCCCCCTGCGGCCGACTGGGGCGTCTTCGTCTGCCGCGCGGGGCCACGGCCACAGCCGCCCACGACGGAGGCCACTGCTAGCGAGGGCTCCTGGGGTCGCATGCAGCCACCCCCCCGGGCCCCACTCTCTCGCTGTCCACGACTGGACGGCAGTGACTGGTGGCTGAAATAACCCACCTCCTAGCTCCACCTCTTTCACAGCCACTTTGGACGGCAGTGGTTGGTGGCTGAAATAGCCCACCCCCTGCGCACCACCTTCTTTGCCTCCGTGTGCAGCCTCGCCCTCCCGTGGACAGGAGGCACAGTGCATGGGTGCCCTGCGCGAGGCACGGAGGCCACGCTAGCCGCGTCCTGCACGCCCTTCACGGGGACAGGCGCGTTCGTCACGCATTGGCGCGGCACCCCCCGCCAAGACGCTCCCGCCCCTGGAATAAGTTGTCTCAGGCGGCAGTGCGGCCGCCGGCCACTTCCCATCTTAATGTGTGTCCTGCGGCTTTTGGCTGCGCCCCCTCCTCTCCCCCCCTCATCGGCGCTCGCCTCAGCGGCTTTTGGCCGCGCACCCCCCCCCCTACCCAACAGCGCCATCGCATTGCGCCGGCCGCAGAAGCGTGTCTGCCCTGAGACCTGCCCAGGGAACAGCGGTCCTTCCTTCGTCGCCGACCCGGCCATGGTTCTACTACAAGGACGTCTTGGCCCGCCGTCAGCACGCCGCCAGCAAACGGTACGGCCCAGCAGCTCTCCAGCTGCCAGCCATCGGTTCGCCTTGGCATCGGAGGTATTTGGCTTCTGCACGGGCAGCGTGGCAGGTGTTGAGTGGGTGCGGCTGTCCGCCATACACATGGTGATTTGCTTCGTCAAAGTGAACGGCCCCGCATCGAGTGGTTCAGCTTTCCGCGGTTCGAGTTCGCTTCGCCTTTCTCGGCGCTGCCACGGCCCCAGCCCTCGCCAGTACAATTGCATTGTTGTGCCCCCGAACAGCGCGATCCGGATGCGATGTGAGCGCACAGGCTACCGGCTGGAGGTTGCTCATCCTCGTGAACGCACACCAGTGGTCTGCCTCCTTCTGGATGGTGCTCGGACACCCCTCATTGACACTCGCGTTCAGCGGCTTTTGGCTGCGCCCCCCCCCCCCCCTGCCCCGAGACCTGCCCTGGGAGCGCCTTCCTTCGTCGCCGGCCCGGCCATGGTTCTACTACAAGGACGTCTTGGCCCGCCGTCAGCAACCCGCCAGCGAACGGCACGGCCCAGCAGCGCTGCAGCTGCCATCCATCGGTTCGCCCAGGCGTCGGAGGTATTCGGCTCCTGCACGGGCAGCGTGGCAGGTGTTGAGTGGGCGCGGCTGTCCGCCATGCACATGGTGATTGGATTCGTCAAGTGAGCGGCCCTGCGTTGAGTGGTTCAGCCTTTTACGGTTCGAGTTCGTTTCATTCTTTTCGACGCAGCCACAGCCGCCAGCCCTCGTCAGTACATTGCATCGTTGTGCCCCCGAACGGCGTGATCCGGATGCGATGTAAGCGCACAGGCTACCGGCTGGAGGTTGTTCTGCCTCGTGAACGCACACCAGTGGTCTGCTTCTTATTGGATGGCGCGCCGACGCTGATCAGCCGCACCTCAGCTTCAGTGAGCCTTGGTGAGTCGGGCCACCCTCGCCGCATCAGCGTATGCTCGCGGAGCTGCAGCGAGTCTGAGTTAGCTGCTCTCGCTCGCGCTCACCCCCCTTATTTCGAGGTCTTGGTCGGCCTGGCTCAGTGCGCACACACGTGGGTTCCGTCTGGTCATTGGCCGTTCGGACTCGCGTTCTGCCCGCGGCTTATTACAGTGCCTTGCTGTCCGTCTTGGCCTTGCTTCCGATTGCGGTTCGGCTGGAGCTTGGCGCCGCAAGGGCGACTTCTCCCCCCCGTTCCGTTTCCGGTTGCCGCGCCTTTTGCTTCCCCACCAGCCGGGCTGTCTGGGCCGGTCACCAGCAGACGCTGAAATGCGTCTCAATGAGGGGCGCCTTGTCCCTGGCATGTGCATGTGCCGCTGCGTGCGTTGTCCGCTGGAATCCGCGGCAATCTCGCGCCAATTCTCGACGCACCGCGCCCCGGACGTTGTGCTCGCTCCGTGTCTCTCGCCTTGGATCGATAACGCGACCGTGACCATAGCCATTGCTCCTTCGTGTTTCCCAGATAAGATCTTTTAAAAAATAGAACTCCGTTTTTTAACACGTTGGGATTTGTTAACTTTCATAAATCGGTTTTGCAAGCGATTGCAGACCCACTATGACGCGTGAGCGGGGGGGCAGAAAAAGGGCATCGCAGTAGAACAACAGCATCGGGGTGCATAGTTACGCAATTGGAAGGGTTCGGCGGAGGGGTAGCGTGCCAGACGTGGTGCGAGCGCACTTAGCTTGCCCCTCACATTCCTTCTCCATCTTCAACCTTTTCCCTCACCCTCCTCCTCCCTGTTCGTCGTCGTCGTTTCCCGGAACCATTTATCAACCCCTTCTCCTTTTATCCCATCCTCTTCCTCCAAAAACGCCCAATTGACCATCCTATTACTCCTGCTCCTCTTGTTCCATCGCTGGATGGTTCTCGTGCCGTGCCGTGCCGTGCCGTCTCGTGATGCGTGCCGTGCCGTGCCGTTTCGTGATGCGTCTCACGGGGTCTCGTGCCGTGCCGTCCCGTGCTGTTCCGTCTCATGCCGTGCCGTGCGACTCCTCTCGGAGTGCCGTGCCGCCTCGCGATGCGTCGTGCCAGGTGGAGATGGTGCTTGCGGCGTGGCCTCCAAAATCTGATCGTGGGTGTGTCGACGGGTGCCGTGCGGTGCGGTTACTTGCCGTATTGTGTCGGGTTGCGCGGTGTTGCGTGGTGCCGTGTCAAAGTTGTCGGGGCCCCATTGCCACGTTGCTGTTTGTCAATATCCGTAGCCTGTTTTGGTTGAAAGCTTGTGCGACTTCTGCTTGCCCATTCTTCGGCACACCGTGCATTCCTCCTAGGTCCTCGATTGCACGGGCCAGGCTCGCCATGACGTCGTCGGGCAGCGGCTTGTCGAGGTCGGACTCCCGCGCGATGTTGGACGTGGCCACGCCGAAGTCCACGGCCAGCAGGGGCTCCGCCGCCTCGTCGAGGAACTTGGTCGATCTCACTCCTCCGCCGAAGGCGGTGGCCAGCAAGAAGGAGCAACAGGAGCTGAACGCGCGCTACCGTGCCTTCCAGGCGTTGGTGAAGCATCTCTTGGATGACGACACCCATGCGCCGTCGTTGCTGATGGACCTCCAGAGGTACAAGGACGAGGTAGAGGGTGATACGTGCTTGGAGGGCGCTCTCTCCCACGAGGTCTTCCCCAATGGCCCCCCCGAGACCATCAGCAGGATTCCAGAGGACTACAAGTTGGAGATGATCGTCGAGAAATCCAAGTTGACGGTGGTCCAGCTAGTGACAGCGAAGGAGAAGGACTCCTCGGCCATCTCGGACGCGTTCCACTTCGGCCTGCAGATGATGGATAACTTGTTCCTCCCACCAGAGTTCGGCGTGTTTGAGGTGGCTCGCGGCGTCTTGACGGAGCGCCATACTGATATCGGTTCACGCTGGGCGATGATGGACTCGTCTTGGATCACGCCAGATGGCAAGCTGTCCTTCGTAAAGGGGTGCGACCGCTTCTTGTGCGACGAGAACGATGACGTTGCCAAGAGGGTTCAGCACATCAACGGAGACACCGCGGACCTGCCTGAGGGGACGCACATCGTCAAGAAGGTCCACGGCATCAGCTGCAACTACAGCGACTGGAAGGTGGCCTTGGTGTGCAAACCCTTCTCGGGCGCCAAGCTTCACAAGTTCTTCCAGGCGACCAAGACCGGGCCGTGCCGCTTCACCGTCTTCACCAACAAGGACGACGTGCTCAGCGACAAGGTGAAGAATCGGTACACCACGTGGGCTAAGGGGCGCGGCCCTACTGCCTCGGCGTCTTCGGGTCCCACGGAGGCGCAGAAGGAGCTCCAGGAGTCCAAGAAGCGCACTAAGACGACGGCCATGGAGTCGGCTCGCAAGAAGGCGAAGGACCTCAACGCTTTGAAGAAGGAAGCGAAGGTGTCCTCGGCTTGAGGCTTGACGTCGGTCGTCTTCGTCACTAGTGATATTGAGTTTTGACCTGGGGAGTTCGTGCGAGTGGCATGTCAACCACCTTGTGTATATCCGTCGCAGCACTGCCCTCAACCTCTAGTGTAGTGGTCATATCTTGTCAGCTTTAGTTGACACACGTAGCAGGTGGTGCCGCTAGCAGTTGGTGCCCCTAGCAGGCGAGGCCGCCTGCTGGGTCAGAATGCGGGTTATCTGGCCGTCGTAGCAGGCGCGGTGCCTCCAGCACGCGGCGCCCCCAGCACCTCGTGCCCAGACACGTGCGTAGGAGGATGGTGCCCCTAGCACCGTTCGAGCTGCAAAAATGAAACGGCCCCTGAGGGCCCTCATGGACACACCGCCTCATGGGGACGGGAGGGGCGGAGGATGGGGGAAGGGGGCTGGGTGAGAGGACGAGGGCATGTGTGGGAGGGCTATAGGAACAGTATGCAGTGAGGAGGGGTAGAATAGGGAGGGGCCTCCACCTCCCCCTCCTCCTCCTCCTCCCCCCCTAACCTCCTGGCCCCCTTTAGGCCGGCAGTGGCCAGGTGGCCAGCAACCGTCAGAATGATTCGGAGAGTGTCCTTTGCACGTCGCAGGTGTGACTCCACCGTTGGCTTGCGTTGTTTGCAATGCATATTTCATGATTCGGTGTTTGTCGTGCGCAGGCGAGGTCGACGTGTGAGTTCTCAGGTCGCCTGCGGTCGTCCTCCGTGATCCACCCCACCCTCTCGCCTCTTCCTCTGGCGTAGCCGTTTTGGCACTAGTCGATTCTCAGGGTCTCGAGGCGAGTTCTTCATCGGGACCGTGCATGCCGTCTGCGGCGGCCGCGGCTGCCAGCGGTGGCGGCGGTCCCCCAGCCCACGTGGACGTCGATGACATCGACGTCGACGGGATCAAGAAGGCCCAGGATACCGAGGTGCCCATGGACCTCCTCCTGTGGAGCGACCGCGTGCACCTCCGCATGGTTGGGAATAACAAGTGGATGTTGAGGAGCATCGAGACGTACGAGTTCCACGAGTTCGAGGCGGAGGCCGCCGAGCTTGTCCACTCGGACGACAACACGAGCATCGCGGTTGTGAAGGTTGATGGTAGCGCCGATGTGATTGACCTTGACAACCTGTTCAAGTGGAGACTTTACCGTGCGAAGGGTAGCTGGGAATATTTCGCCAAGGCCACTGTCGTATACCCGACCCACACCAAGACGATACAGAAGAGCGTCGACGACATGTTCTCGGATCACAGGAAGGGCAAGGTGAACGTCGCCGTCGGCTCTGGGAACGGGGAGACACAGTTCAAAATGTTCATCTTCAAGCTTCATCGCCAAGGAGGGCAGCGGATATGGTGGGACCACATGTCAGTGCATAAGTACCTCAAGATCAAGTCCTACAAGGGCATCCCGTCGAGGTGGTGGGGTAGGGTTGGCCATAAGTGGGACGGCAGCTTCCTGCAGAATTTCGGTTTCGGCTCGATGATATACGGCAAAGTGGTAGCGCCCCATGCGGTCAAGAAAATGATGCTTCCGTTTCGCACGAGGTGCCTCGACTCGAGCTCTTTGTCGACGGCTGGACTCGTCTTCGCAGTGGCCAGGTGCGCGTATTTGTCGCCAGAGGCTGGGGGCTTCAAGGAGGAGAGTAGCACGCGCGCTGCGACGGAGTTGATGGACGCCTTCATCGGTACCTTCCTGCGCAACTGCCAGGTCGAGGGCAAGGCCCCCGCCATCACTTTGTACCTCGTTGCCGATTGGGCGCCACCGTGGCCGTTCCCCACAGAGACGGGCACTCCCCAGGTCAACCTGGGAGTGCATCGCGATGGTATCGACGTGAAGCCGCTGCACAGCTTGGCCAATGTATCTGGGAGGACTTCAATTGTGACCAAGTATTTCAGGATGGTGGAGAGTGTCGCCGGCTCGTCCGACCAGGACGTCATGCTCGTATCATGGGAGAACTTGTTCTCGAACACGGTGTCCAAGAGATCAAGCAAGTTCTTCTCGCAGATCGTCTACGGCCTCGCCATGGCCGCAGAGGCCATGGTGCTCCGCGGGATCACGAATAAGGACGTCGTGGACACGCTCAGCCCGATCAACGTCTGCACGTCCACGATGCAGGACATGGACAGGCACGAGGTGGACTACTTTCTCGCGAAGTACGTCGCCTGCGCGAAGGACACGTTCAAGTCGCCTATGTTCCTCAACGTCGCCATCGACAAGGACGGGGGGTGGCCAGCAGCTTTGCCGATCTTGGCCACCCCTGAGACGCCCCCCCCCCCGCACCCCCCCCATCCGCGCCCGCCTGCCAGCCCCGCCAGCCTCGGCGGGGGGAATGGGGGGAGGGGGCAGGCGGCGGTGGCTAAGATCGCCATTGGCAGCTAGTCGCCCCCCAAAGGGCAACCCTGGCAACCTCCCCCTCTACGGCTCCGTGTTCACGCTCCCCAGCGGGGTGGCGGTCGTCGGGCCGCCACAGGTAGGCCAGGTAGACGCACGAGCCCGCCCCCCCCCCCCCCCTCCCCCTGCACAGGCGCACCCCCCTGTCGGGCGAACGCCCCCCAGCTGTGGCTATGGTCACTTTTCGGGGCTCCCGCCTGAGTTTTGGGCCCAAAAAGTGACCACAGCCACAGCTGGGGCACTGAGCGCTGGGCCTGGGGGTGCCAGGGGGGGGCGGGGCCTCGGGCGTTTGCGCCGTCGCAGGTGGCGAGCGGCGCTGGGGCGCTGGAGTGGGCGTCAGGCAAGGATATCAGATCGGCGCGGCCTGGGGGGAAGAAGAGCGAGACTACCGGCGGGGATGCTGGGACGATGAGGGCAAATCGCCATCGCGCGTGGCCCCAGAGAGGTAGGCACCAGAAGGGCCAGAGTTGGAGGCCAGCCGTGCTACACCGAGCTGCCGCAGCATCGTGGTGCACTGCCCTCGACAACGCCATGAAGCATGTGACTGAGACCGATGACCTTTCGTATCTTCGGCCCGACGCCTCCGACAAGTGGCGCGACGCAAATTGGCGGAACTGGCCTCACATGTCGTTGCCGATGGACCTTGGGCCCGACGGGATGGCAGGTTGCAACGCTTTGCTTTACAAGTGGAAGTTGAATCTGACAAGGATCGATGAGTTCAGCCACGGGTCGAACAACGACCTCAAGGTCTACCTGAAGGAAATCGGCATGTGGGACCTCGCGATCCTCCTCTTCATCCACTTCAACGTGCCGTTCGGGCCTGACAAGGACCCCCCCCCCCTCTCCCCCTCTCCTCCTCCTCCAGAGTGGGGAGAGGCTGGCAGGAGGGCGACCGATGCAGGCACCTCTCCTTCCCTCTCCCTCTCTCCTCCTCTCCTCCTCTCCTCCTCTCCTCCTCTCCTCCTCTCATCCTCTCCTCCTCCCCTCCTCCCCTCCCCCCCCCTCCGAGTGGGGGGGGGACCTTCCCTCTCCTCCTCTCCTCCTCTCCTCCTCTCCTCAGGAGGACGGCCGATACAGGCACCTCGAGTGCGTGGACACCATGAGGAAGATCTACGACGAAGAGACCTACAGGTCGGTGCCGTGCTTCCAGCACTACTGCAATAACATAGTCCAGGAGATGAAGAGGGACGGCTACGAGTTCACAGGGGACGAGCCAGATGCAGCCGTGGCTTGGAACTTCATGAAAGAGGAGAACGGCTTCATCCCATTGGGGATGCGCTCCAACTTCTGTCGGTTTTGTGATGCTGCTGATGGTTTCGACAGGAACTACAAGTACTGGTGGAGGCGCACGTTCGAGCGCACGTGCGTCGCCTTGGAGCACGACATGCTTGCGAATGCGAAGCTCCAGAAGGTAGCGGTCAAGCAGGCGGAGGTGGGCGGGGCGATCGTGGAGGGGGGCGGCGCTACGAGCAGCGCCAAAGTGACGATCGACGCGAAGGTGTTGAGGTCCGCCAACGCAAACGCCGTGGCGATATCAGTGCTGCTGACATCATGCCCTCGGAACCGCCGCACAGTAGCCTGCTCGTTCGCCCCGATGCATTGTGTGAAGAAGTGGCAAGGGAAGAGCGTGAAGGAGATGAAGACCGCGGAGGCGACGCAGGTGTGGATGACCAATCAGATCAGAGGGGACTTCATGGACCATGTTATTTCGATTGTAAACGGCTTGTTGGACGCGCACAGCATGGAGGGCTGCGACTTCATTCTGAACATGCGCGCGATCAAGGACGCCGATCCTGGTGAGGTCGGTGTCGAGGGCGACTTTGCCGAGCTGTACGGCATGGCGCATCTTTCACTTGCCACTGCCAGGATGCGAAGGTGTTTGTTTTTGTTCGGGTGGCCCTTGAAGATGCAGCGCGTCCTGGCCGACCCAGAGACAGGGGTGAACACGGCGCGGGAGTTCAAGCGAGACCTCGATGTCTTCAACGAGTACTGCGCGTACAAGGGCGATCAGAGTGCACGGTGCGTGGTCGTGAAGCGCAGCGTCTTCGGCCTGACAGCGACCAAGCAGATCACCTTGGCGTTCCGCGAGCTCGGGTTCAATGCTCCGCACCAGGCGATCAAGGACATCATGAAAGGTCGGAGCACTGGCATCATGAATGCGATTCCTGTCGAGAAGATCATTGGCGCCCAGAAGAAATGCTCGCGCTTCAAGGCTTGCAAGAAGTTTCGTAGGCCAGCGACCGCCATGCATACGGCCATCTGTTGCGGCGTGATCGACAAGCAGTTGAAGTTCACGGCCCTCGAGGCCGATACCCCCCTTCAGGATAAGACAGCGTCTCTGCCGCTGGAAGCCTTCAAGCCAGTGAAGAGATCTGCTTCGATAGCTTTCGGGGATATCGTGAGTACCGCCCAGAAGACCGACTACTACAGCCCAGGCCCCACCTTGGCGAACACACCGGTTGCCGACCTCAAGATGGTTTCCGACGCGAAGGCTAAAGGAGGGTTTGGCCATGTCACAGACGCGTGGCTGGGCGGCATATTCAAGCTGAAGCACAAGTTCGTCTTCTCGAGCCCACATCATGGTGGCGATGCGTGGTGGCACCTTGCGCTGCACCACTGGCCGACGAGCGGCGTGTTGTGTTGGCCTGGCAAGCTGGTCACGGTAGAGGGGTCACCCAACTTTTACTTCGAGTTCGCCCTCGACTTGCAGGAGCCCGCGCACGTCGGCGTGTTCGACTGGGCGGACTTCAAGGTCAGGGAGATTTCTTTCAAGTCATGGGCCTGGCAGGGCCGCAACATGCCGCAGGGTTGGGTTGATGCGAACAAGCCTGGCGTGCGCATCTTCGCCACGGGTTCGGTCACCAACATCCAGAAGCTGGCCTCGACGAACTGTTTCTGGAACATCAGCTCCTCGGACTTGGGCAGCATTGCCAGCTACCTGAAGATCCCCATTCCTGAGGGCGCGTCTTTGTTCTCCAAGCTGCTGATCTGTTCGCTCTTGGGCATCACTAGTGAGGCTGCCATGAAGTTCTTGTGCGCGCGCTGGTCGTGCGATGAGAACGACCTGGAGTTCGCCCAAGAGTTGATGGAGGTCGAGGCGGCCATCGAAGTCTTGGACCAGCACGACCATGACACAGTGAAGCAGCAGATGCACGCGGTGGAGACCAGCGTCAAGGCCCACGAAGAGTTCACGGAGGAGTTCGAGGCGAAGCTGCTCGAGCTCGCACGCGCCAAGGCTGGTGGCAAGAAGCCCAAGGTAGGCGCGGGGAAGACGGAGAAGATCCCCACTACGCTGACGCAGAAAGAGGCCAAGAAGTACCTGCCGCCAGGTGCCTCCATCTGGCGCGGCTTCTCTCGCGGTGAGTGGATGGGGCACATGCCCCCGTACAGGCGCGTGAGCGCACCGTGGTCGAAGCACACTGAGGCTGGTGCCATGCGAGTTGCATTGAAGAAGGTGTGGATCCAATATTTGGCGAAGGAGGTCAAGGACCGCTCTCACTGCCCCTGGCCCGAGCTGTTCGAATGAATTCGACGTCGTTTGGACGTTCGCGTCCTTGTATTTTTTGAGGAGGGGATCGGGGGCAGAACCAGGGCGAGGATGGGGGGGAAACGTCGAGGATTGCTTGTGCACGTGCGTTATTGTTGTGCTTGGGGGAAAGCAATGAATTTAAGTAGCTGTGCGATTTTAGGTTTAAGATTGTTGCACATGCTTGAGCCTCGTGGAGATGCGAATGACAGCTGTTCGATGTGTGCGTGCGCTTTTCGGGGCTAGACGTGGCCCGATTCCTTTGCGCTCTCAGAGCGGGAGAGAGGTGGGAGGAGGAGGAGGAGGAGGAGTAGGCGGAGGAGGAGGAGGAGGAGGAGGAGGAGGAGGAGGAGGAGGGAGGAGGAGGGAGGAGGAGGGAGGACCTCAAGAAGAGGAGGAGGAGGGATGACCTCAAGGACGCACACGATGGACACGCGAGCTGCCTAGGCTACGACGGCTTTGGTGCACTAAGTGGTGTAGGCGCCCATGTGGGCGGGAGCGCCTCGATGCAGCTTCGCATCGCCTCCGAAGGATCGCCGCCGCCGAGCGGCCTGGAACGTCAGGCGGTAGAGAAAAACTGGTCGTGGACACTCCGAGAGAGAACGGGCTATAGTGAGTGAGGAGTGTCAGGGGGAGGGAGAGAGAGAGAAAGGAGAGGGATAGAGAGATAATAGGCAACTTGGATGTCATCCCCACGGGGTTGGTCGCTGGGGCCAGGGGGCTTTTCCAGGGGCACAGGACTTGATTTGTCTTGCAAGGGGTTTCGCTTTCTGGCACTCGTTGTTTGCTGGATTCGGTTTGTGCGCAGGAGGGCGCAATCGAGATCAGGTTGGGCATGGCCCCCTGGCCCCTCACACGCCTTGTCTCCCGCGGGGAGTGCGGGCTCCGTGTGCGCGTTGCCCCCCGCCAGTGGTCCTTGTTGTTGCCATTTATGCTTCATCTACTGTTATGAATTATCCTACGCTGGCTGCTCTCACTAGTATTGTTCTGGCTATATGCCGTTCCACTTTCCTATCCTGCCCCCCCCCTCTCCCGCCTCTTACTTTTATTTGTATTCGAAAGGTTCGGCTCAAGGCACGCCGCGTCGGCTATGACGGGGCCTCGGCGAATTGCCCGAGAGGCGATTCATAGGGAGCTGTGCCCCCCGCGCCGACTTCCCAAATTCCAGGGGGGGGGCGCCCAGCAGTGGCTATGGTCACGTTCGCGGCCTCTATTGGAGCCGCGAACCGAAAAAGTAACCCCATCAGCCAGTCTGGTCAGCCTTGGTGCTGCTTAGGCCGCCGGCTTGTCGGCGCGTTAGGCAATTAGGTTCGCGCGTAGCCCGCCCGATTCTTGGCGCTGCTGGCGCGCTCGCCTGCGGCCGCGACGGAAAAAGTTACCCCTTCAGCCCATCCAGAAACGATGCCCAGGGGCCTCGAGGAATTTCCTCGATGAAGGAAGTGGGCAGCACACAGAGGAAGGGTCTCCCAGTGGAGGCCTCTTGGAGCGTCTTGGGGGCTTCTTGGCGGTCGGACGCCTCTTGGAGCGTCTTGGGTGCCTCGGAGAGCTTTTGGGGCCTCTTGGAGGTCTCTTGGGAGCCTCTTGGAGGCCTCTTGGGCGCCTGTTGGGGCCTCCTGGGGCCTCCTGGGCGCTTCTTGGGGCCCTCTTGAAGCGCTCTTGGGAGTCTTGGGAGCGCTTTTGGGGCCATCTTGGAGGACATCGATCAAACAAGAGGGGAGCATTCATTATGTAGCGCTGCCCCTCGGGAGCCCAAACAGTCGCCTCTTGGGGCGCTCGAGGCGCCCTTGGAGCGTTCTTGGGCGCTCTTGGGGCGTTTTGGGGCTCCCTTGGGCCTCTATTGGAGCCCTCTTGGGCCATCTTGGAACCATCTTGAGGCCTCAGATGGCCATCGGGAACGAAAAGGCGAGAAAGCCAAAAACATTGATTGTCCTAAGGTTTGAGAAGGGTTTGGGCCTCTTCGGGGCCTCCTGGGGGAGCTCTTTGGCACATTGGCGCCGTGTTGGAGCGGTCTTAGGGCCTCTTGGAACATCGTGGGAGCCATGCTGAGGCACCCTGGGATATCTTGAACAGTCTTGGAGGTCATCTTGGGCTCTCCCAGGCGCTCTTGGAGTCATCCTAATCAGTGCCATCCCCCCCCCCCCCCCCCAGGAAGCCAAAATGTGGCCAAATCATTGGCGCAGTTAATGATTTTGGCATTCTCGCCGAGGCCTCTTGGAGCGTTTTGGGTGCCCCTGGGGGGCCTCTTGGAGCCTCTTGGAAGCATCCTGCGGGCCTCTTGGGGGCCTCCTGGGGCCCTCTAGGGGCACCCTTGGGAGCTTTGGGGGCGCTCTTGGGGCCATCTCGGAGGAGATCGATCAGAGAAGGGGGGGTCCTTAGCGTTTCCCCTCCAGGAGGCCACAATGGGGCCAAACCTTAGTAAAACCGGTGATTTTGGTTTTCTCGCCGAGGCCGTTTGGACGCTCCAACTACCCGTGGAACCCCCCGTCCAGGTCCAGGGGAGGGCGTAGGGGGGAGGGGTGAACCCCTCCCCGAAGGGGACGAAGGGGCTTGGAAGAGGGAACTCCCCAGACCAATTACGCCCTGAAGGGCTGGTGGGATCGGGAGCTCCCTAGGGCCACGGACTGAAATAACAAATCGTCGGATGTTTGCCTCTTGGCGTGGCGAGGGAGGAACTATAGCACTGCTGCGGCAGAAGACTCTCTAAGCACGTTTGAGCAGTTGCCGATGGGGGGCCACGATGGGGGCCCACCATGGGCCACTGATTTCGGGAGCCCGGGCTCTCTCACCGGGCATTGGCCGGATATTAGACGGACCCCCATACAATGGAGGTATTTAGGGAAACAAGCAAACAAGAGTCTTGCGGTTTTCAGGCGTCTTCGGCAGTTCTCCAGTAGGCTTTCTCGCGCTGGGATGCCTTTCAGCAGCTGCCCCTTGCCGATGACGCTCTTGGATGCCCTGGTCGTGCCGAACGGCCAGCGAGACGCGCCCAGGAGACCCGAGGTCCGATCCAAGAAAGCAGATCTCGTCGCGCCGTGGCAAATTCACGGCGGACATGCGTTGCAATGCTCAGCCTCACGGAGCCTCTGAGTACAGTCAAAAATGGCTCGGGGTGAGAAGCCAGTCTCCGGGGAAGCGATCGAGATTTCCGAGGGTCGCTTCTGTGACAAATGCACGACGTCGGAGGTTTGGGCCGGGAATCTCGCCGTCGGCGGAGGCCGATGCAAATATGTAAAAAGGCGGTTGGTCCGCCGGCGGAAGCTCGGCGGAAGGCGGCGGAGGCAAGAGTGAGGCGTCAATACGGTGGAGGCCCATGCCAAGAAACACCCTGGTTGCCTCCAGGGTGCCCTGGGTTTCTGGGGTTTCGATGGTCTTGCTCTGGAAAGCGTAACGTTCCCACACCAAAAATCAGTGGACGTCCTGGGGTCTCAGGATTGGGTTTCTTGTGTAAGGTTTTTTGTGGACTGGCTTCCACAGTCCCACCAGCCCTTTAGAGTGTAGGTGGTCTAGGGCGTTTCCTCTTCCACCCACCCCTCTTCCCCTTCAGGGAGGGGTTTATCATTGTTCCCTACTAATCAACACCCCCTCCCCAGGTGACTGGTAGCCAACCAGGAACCATGCGGGCACCTCCCCACTATCCCTTATACAAAAAACCATACAAACACACCCTCTGCCTCCAAATTCGGAGCATGCGCAGCCAACCCGCTGCGGCCTCCCCCCACCATCCCTGTCAACAAACAATACAGAGTACACTTGGCGGACGCGGCGGCTGCGGCGGCTGCGGCGGCGGAGGCGGCGGTGGCGGCGGCGGCGGCGGGGGCGGCGGCGGCGGCGGCGGCGGCGGCGGCGGCGACTGCGGCGGCGGCGGCGGTGGCGTCGGCGGCGGCGGCGGCGGCGGTGGCGGCAGCGGCTGCGGCGGCAGTGGCTGCGGCGGCGGCGACTTGACAGCGGGGGCTGCGCCGGCGGCGGATTGGCCCCCAGTAGCTGCCCATCCAAAGATGACTGCTGAATGTGCTGGGGCTCGGGCCAGACTCGGGTGCTTCATATGTGTTGGGCGGGCGGGTGGGAGTGAGCGAGACGGCTTGCGGGCGGGGGGGGGGGTCTTCACCCCTCCCCCTTACCCCCTTCCAAGTATCCATCTGGGCTCAAGTATCCATCTGGGCTTTTCCAAACCCTGGCTGCATTCATACCAGTCTGTCATTGCTTGCCGGTGTGTTGCAATTTGGGATCAGGCGGAATGTCGGGTACAGGTTCGAAGCGTGGTCCGGCTTCTTCTGGATTCGCACCGGAGAAACCAAAAAAGAAGATCCAAGCTATCGGGGACGATTCGGATGAGGACCTCATGGAGGTGATGGTGGCATCTACGGAAGATGGGGATCCCCCGTGGCTCCAGAGGTTCGAGGAGCGCCAAAATAAGAAGTTCGAGAGGATCGAAAAGCAGTTCGGCCAGATGCGTACCCTGATGAAGGAGGTGAGGAAAAAGGCGGAGGAGGCGAAGGAGGTGGCGGAGGAGATTCAGGAGAAGTGCGCCGATCTCGAAACAGACTTGCACAATTTCAGGAAGGAGGTGGAGGGATTATACGTAACAAGGAGGAGATGCAGAACACAATCGAACTCATCGTGGCATCTGAGGTCAGGGAGCTTTTGGATAAGATGCGGGAGGAGGGCAAGACGTCCGAGGGGAAGGAGGAGACGGAGGACGGGAGGAGGACGAGGGCATCCAGAGGGACTTGCAGGTCATCGTGGGAGGTCAGCGGGACACCGATGCGGAAGACATCGTTTCGGCCATCGAGGATTTCCTGAAGGTGGATTCGAGGCGCCACAAAGTCAAACAGGTTTCTACTTTCAGCGACCCCTTCCAGCGTCGGTTGCATTCAATTCGATTCGGTCGCTGCGGAAATCGGCTTCTACAGGAAAGTCAGAGATGCACAGAAAACGACGACTGATGGGTTTGATTTGTGGCTTACGAACAACAGGACATTTGAGGAGCGCATCCGGGACAA